TGAGATAGAGTCTTGCTCTGTTGTCCAGGCCAAGTGCAGTGGCACGATCTTGGCTCACTGCAACCTCTGTCTCCCGGGTTCAAGCGATTCTCATGCCTCAGCCTCCTGAGTAGCTGGGATTACAGGCACCTGCCACCATGCTCGGCTAATTTTTGTATTTTTAGTAGAGACGGGGTTTCACCACGTTGGCCACTCTGGTCTTGAACTCCTGGCCTCAGGTGATCTAGCGGCCTCGGCCTCCCAAAGTACTGGGATTACCAGCATGAACCACCATGCCCAGCCTAATTATTTTTTATTTAATAAAAGTTAATCTTTACTCAGGCTTAAGCCTTTGTGCTCACAGCCCGAAAGTTCAAGGACTCTTGAGGATTCAACTCAGAGTGGACTGGCCACATGGTGCCAACTCAAAGACAGGGTGGCTGGCACCTGTAATCCCAGCACTTTGGAATACCTAGGCCAGTGGATCACCTGAGGTCAGGAATTCAAGACCAGCCTGGCCAAAATGCAAAACCCTGTCTCTACTAAAAATACAAAAATTAGCTCATTGATTTGGGTGAAGTTTGGGAGGGAGGAATGGGTACAAAGGACCTTTGCAAAATGGTTTCTACCTTGACTACAGTCCAGAAACCCTCAGGGCATTTTCTGATGGTCTCACTCCTACAGCGAGTCTCTGGAGCTCTCGGGAACACACTGCCCAGGGTCTGGAACTTAAGGCCCCATTGTAAATATAGGAGAGGTTTGTTTGTTTGTTCATTTATTTATTCATTTAGAGATGGAGTCTTGCTCTGTGGCTCAGGCTGGAGTGCAGTGATGCAATCTCGGCTCACTACAACCTCCGTCTTCCAGATTCAAATGATTCTCCTGCCTCAGCCTCCCAAGTAGCTGGGATTACGGGTGCCCGCCATCATGCCCAGCTAATTTTTGTATCCTTAGTAGGGAGAGGGTTTCACCATGTTGGCCAGGCTGGCCTTGAACTCCTGCTGTCAAGTGATCTGCCTGCCTTGGCCTCCCACAGTGCTAGGATTAGAGGCGTGAGCCACCTCACCTGGCCCTATCCTGCCATTTCTGTATGGATTACCTATTGGAGAAACCTAATGGTTGATGAAGGAAAGTTTTTCTTTTTTTTTTTTTNTTTTTGAGACGGAGTCTCAATCTGTTGCCAGGCTGGAGTGGAGTGGCACGATCTCAGCTCACTGCAACCTCTGCCTTCCAGTTCAAGCAATTCTCATGCCTCAGCCTCCCGAGTAGCTGGGACTACAGTCACGCACCACCAAGCCCAGCTAATATATGTGTTTTTAGTAGAGACTGGGTTTCACCATTTTGGCCAGGATGGTCTATCTTGGTCATTTGACCTTGAGATCTGCCTGCCTCGGACTCCCAAAGTGCTGGAATCACAGGCGTGAGCCACTGCACCCATCCTAGAAAGTTCTTTAGAGAAAAGTTACAGTGAATAAATGCAGGAGAAATGCGTAACTTCAAAGTCATCACTTTAAAAGCCCTTACAAGATAAAAAGTCCAGGCCACGGTCCTCGATACCGGCCAAAATCATTAGGAAACATTTCAATGGGAGCATTGGGATGGAGGGACCCACTGGCAGTGCCTGGGCCGGCCTGATCAATGTAAATGTGATAAAAATCAGGACAAACATCATGTGCCTCTGATATGAGGCATGAGGAGGATGCACATAGCACCATCTCTGATGGGTTCTTGCCAAAAAAATTGAACCTGAAGCTAATCAGGCCTCAGAGGAAGCAGCCTGTTACCAGACATGGGCCAATTCACTACTCTTATAATTTGCATCACAACCTGTTGTGTTTTTTTTTCCCTTAAAATATTTTTGTCTTAATTTTCTTTCTTCTTTTTTTTTTTTTTTTTTTTTTTTTTTTTTTTTTTTTTTTTTTTTTTTTTTTTTTTTTAGTG